CTTCTATGTGACAAGAAGAACGAACGAAGGAAGAAAGAAATCTGGCAAACCGAAGGAGAGTATCGGTTAAATATTTGTCGTACATAAACTTCCAGTGCATCTGTTAATATTGACGTGAGTTTTAGCCAGCTCAAGGCTGCACCTTCCGCTTTAGATACACGATGTGAGCACATCTTCCAGGAACTGTTGCAACAGGTCTCCCGGGGAAAGCCTAGAGAAAAATTGTAGAAGAGAAAAATTAATATGGTTATGGAGAGAGAGAGAGAGATTTGTAGGAAGATGTAGGAACAATTTGGGGAGGTTTTGAGAACAATTTAGAGAGGTTTTGAGGGATCTAGGAATTTAGGGAGGTTTTGAGAGGTCTAGGAACAATTTAGGGAGGTTTTGAGCAGTGTTGGTAAAATTAAGGGAGTTCGGGGTTAGAATGGGAAAAATTGGGAAATTTTTTAATTTGAGGGTTGGACATTTTGGGGATTTGGGGATTTAGAAATATAGGAATTTATGGATTAGGGATTTAGGGATGCAGGGATTTAGGGAGACAGGAATTTAGGGAGACAGGAATTTAGGGAGGCAGGTATTTAGCTATACAGGGATTTAGCTATGCAGAGATTTAGCTATACAGGGATTTAGAAATAAAGAGATTTAGGTATACAAGAATTTAATTACTCAGGAATTTAGGAATATAGGGATTTAGGGGTACAGGAATTTTGCTATACAGGGATTAAGGGATACAGGGATTTAGCTATACAAGGATTTAGTTACTCAGGAATTTAGGGATTTAGGGGTGCAGGGATTTAGCTATACAAGGATTTAGTTACTCAGGAATTTAGGGATATAGGGATTTAGGGGTACAGAGATTTAGGTATACAGAGATTTAGGGATACAGGGAGTTAGCTATACAGGGATTTACAGACACAGGGATTTAGGTAGACAAGGATTTAGTTATTCAGGAATTTAGGGATACAGGGATTTAGGTATACAAGGATTTAGTTACTCAGGAATTTAGGGATTTAGGGGTGCAGGGATTTAGCTATTCAGGAATTTAGGTATACAAGGATTTAGCTATACAAGGATTTGAGGTATGGAAATTTAAGAATTTAAGAATCCGAGAATTTAGAAACTTGAGAACTTGAAAATTATGGGGTTCCTAGGTTTTAAAATTTGAGAATTCAGAAATGAACGATGAAAATGAAACGCGATCAATAGTAATAACAAATTCTCTTAATGAAATACATGTTTCATTGTTGACATCTCTTATAAAATCTACGACTGACGTAAGATCTGCATTGTTCTTTCCTTTATTCCCATCCATTGTTTTCCCGTGTCATTGTATTCGATTGGTAATTCCGTAGCGTTAGTTATAAGTTCATTCAAATTTCTTCACTTTCATTAGTCACCTGAAAAATTCAAATTTATTGAATCCCAAAAATTAAAATACAGAATCACTGTATCAATTTTACAAATTATTAATTTCAACTAATTTAGTTACTAATTTGCACGATTTTCGAAAGAGAAGTTCATAAAAAATGTAGAATTCGAAAAAATTTATGAATCAGTTATTTTCGACGACACAAAGAAACAAAATGACGCCCGCAGAGTGGTACAAGATGGCACCCGTAACTGGCGTTTCACAGAAAAGAAGTCTTTTAGTAACAAACATGAAGTTCTTTAAATGATCTACCTTTAATCGTTATCCTCAATTTGATAGGGTCATATTTCAAGACGGTCGTTTCAAAACGAATACGTAAATCGTTACGGTTTATAAAATTCTGTAGGAATCGTTCTCCTTGAACGTTTTGTCTAGAAATATGCCTCTTTAGAATGTTACTTACGAACCTTTGGAACGAACGGAAACGGTGATTCGTTTCAGAAAGGACAACAAAATGTGTCTGTCACAAATGCTAATAGACGATAAATAAATTGTTGCTTTGAAAAATGTATTTGCGCGAAAAATATTTTTCTAATTCTAATTGGAATAAAATAATATTTTAAATTCCCAATAATTCCCTAATTTCATAATTTCCTAATTCAATTATTCCTCAGTTCCATAATTCCCCAATTCAATAACTATCCAATTCTATAATTGCCTAATTCCACAATTCTCCAATTCCATAATTGCCTAGTTCCATAATTCCCCAATACCATAATTCCCAAATTCCATAATTACCCAATTTCATAATTCCCCAATTCCATTATGCCTCAATTCCATAATTCCCCAATTTCATATTTCTCCAATTCCATATTTCCCCAATTCCATAATTCCCCAATTCCATAATGCCCCAATTCCATAATTCCTCATTTCCATAATCCTCAAATTCCATAATTCCCCAATTCCATAATCCCCCAATTCCATAATTCCCCAATTCCATAATCCCCCAATTCCATAATACCCCAATTCCACAATCCCCAAATTCCATAATTCCCCAATTCCATAATCCCCCAATTCCATAATACCCCAATTCCACAATCCCCAAATTCCATAATTCCCCAATTCCATAATCCCCCAATTCCATAATACCCCAATTCCACAATCCCCAAATTCCATAATTCCCCAATTCCATAATCCCCCAATTCCATAATACCCCAATTCCACAATCCCCAAATTCCATAATTCCCCAATTCCATAATCCCCCAATTCCATAATACCCCAATTCCACAATCCCCAAATTCCATAATTCCCCAATTCCATAATCCCCCAATTCCATAATACCCCAATTCCACAATCCCCAAATTCCATAATTCCCCAATTCCATAATCCCCCAATTCCATAATACCCCAATTCCACAATCCCCAAATTCCATAATTCCCCAATTCCATAATCCCCCAATTCCATAATACCCCAATTCCACAATCCCCAAATTCCATAATTCCCCAATTCCATAATCCCCCAATTCCATAATACCCCAATTCCACAATCCCCAAATTCCATAATTCCCCAATTCCATAATCCCCCAATTCCATAATACCCCAATTCCACAATCCCCAAATTCCATAATTCCCCAATTCCATAATCCCCCAATTCCATAATACCCCAATTCTACAATTCCCCAATTCCATAATTCTCCAATTCCATAATTCCCTAATTTTATAATTCCCCAATTCCATAATTCTCCAATTCCATAATTCCCAAATTTCAAATTCCCCCAAATTCTCACATTTCCACATTCCCCTAAATTCTCACAAACCCAAATTGCAATGTCCCTAAATTTCAAAATGTCCTAACTCAACATGTCTAAATTGCAAAATCCCCAAATTCTCACACTTCCAAATTCCAAAATTTCTCAAAATTCTCACGTTTATATATTTAAAATACATTTTGTTGCTTCGTGTATGTATGCTTCACGTATATATCACGGTAAATACTTTAATCGTAAAAATTGAGATGAAGCAAACTTACAAATGGACAATTTCTTACATTTAAAGTACATTCCCCGTGTTATAAATTCGATAAACAACTTTATTGCATGTAAATGGATCTCAAAAAAATGAACGTTTCAACATCCGTTGAGACTTATTTTGAACACGTGTACTTGCAACTGAGATATTAATGAATCTTATGCAAATATTTGCAAATTCCCAATAATTTTTTATTTGACATTCATCTGATGATAATTTTCCAATAAATCCGATATTGACGCAAATTCACTCCTGGTATTAACTTTTCCAATATCATAGTCATAAATTCGAAATGTCTCAGAGAGATGTATTCAGGGGAGTATTCACTTTGGGGCGACTCAAACTTCACGAACTGTTAGGAATTTTATGAGCAGTGTTAACATTTTTTAATTTTAGTTTCTTAGTATATGAGGTACAATTTTGTGGTAACTGGAGGTTATAGATATCTTGGTTTTCTGAATATATTCAGTGAAATATATATTATTCAATGGAGTGTCTTTATTTAGGGTAGACTCAAATTTTATGAGCAGTGTTAACATTTTTTAGTTCTTTTTTTTTACTACTTTAGCTACAATTTTGTGGTAACAGGAGGTTATAGATATCTGGGTTTTCTGAATATGTTCAGTGAAATATATATTATTCAATGGAGTGCATTTATTTAGGGTAGACTCAAATTTTATGAGCAGTGTTAACATTTTTTAGTTCTTTTTTTTTACTACTTTAGCTACAATTTTGTGGTAACAGGAGGTTATAGATATCTGGGTTTTCTGAATATTTTTAGTGAAATATTATTCAATGGAATCTTTATTTTGTCTGGACTCAAATTTTATGAGCAGTGTTAACATTTTTCAATTTTATTTTCTTAGTACATTAGGTACACTTTTGCAGTAACAGGAGGATATGGACACCTGGGATTTCTGAATATTTTCAGTGAAATATATATTATTTAATAGAGTCTTCATTTTGTGTCGACTCAAATTTTATGAGCAGTGCTAACGTTTTTTGTAGAAATAACACCTTTCACAAAAATCACCAACTTGCAAACTCACTCACTCACAAAATATCTACTAATATAAATTCACTGATAAATTATCTAATTTCTAATGTACCCCACATTCAAAAAAAGGGGTCAAATATCATCAACCAAATCCACTCAAAAATGCCTCAAACTTAACCGATAATCTCTTCGTTCAAAGATCTCTCATTTCCCCGAGCAAAACTATTACAAATTCACTCTCAAACTCACAAAACGTCCAAACCTCCCTTTCGACCACCGAAAATGATCCGAAATTCCCAAAAATCGTCGAGACCCCACAAAAAGACCTGTCGCGTCCACGTGAAAATTAAATAAGTAGCGAACGAAAGTAAATAAGGGTACAACACTGTTTTCGAGCGCACATCCAATACGAACACAGGTGTCAATTTCGCGGTAAAAAACAATCGTTAATTTTATGTAACGAATGTACCGCCAGTTGAACGGCACATCGTCCGAGACCTCTGTCATTTTTTGTGGCCAACGACGCTGGTCATGGTGGGGCTTTATGGGGCGGCGCTCGGTTAATAAGTGGGACATACGGCTCTTGCATCTCGGTATTTCGTAGTGAACTCTTCATCAGGTTGGATCGATCACCTGAGCCTCACCGCGGAATATATATTACTTTTCACTGCTACGACACCGCAACACGTTTTAAGTGCGACTCCTGGGAAACTAAAGACGTCCGAACGAGGGTACCATCGTCACGCGAACTTAACTGTAAGTGCTCGCTCATCAGTTTTGTGGTTTTTCAACTGCCGAGAGTTGATAACAGTGTTGCAGATTTTTTATTTGTAATATTTGGTTTTGATTTTTTGTGGCACGAGAATATGAAGGTTTTGGGGTTTGGGATATGGATGAGAGGCAGTGTGGAGGTATTTTGAGCTCAGGGGCAGTTTTGAGCAGTGTTAACATTTTTATTTTTATTTTTTGGTAGATGCATTTTTGTGGTAGAAGATGGATAGACGTTTGGGATGTAGGGATATTTTTAGTGAAATATTTATTATTCAGTGGAGGACTTATTTTGAGCCGGGTCGGATTTTATGAGCAGCGTTAACATTTTTATTTTTATTTTTTGGTAGATGCATTTTTGTGGTAAAAGGAGGGTAGATATTTGGGATGTAGGGATATGTTTAGTGAAATATTTATTATTCAGTGGAGGACTTATTTTGAGCCGGGTCGGATTTTATGAGCAGCGTTAACATTTTTATTTTTATTTTTTGGTAGATGCATTTTTGTGGTAAAAGGAGGGTAGATATTTGGGATGTAGGGATATGTTTAGTGAAATATTTATTATTCAGTGGAGGACTTATTTTGAGCCGGGTCAGATTTTATGAGCAGTATTAACATTTTTCAATTTTATTTTTTTATTACATTAGTACATTAGCTACGATTTTATGGTAACAGGAATATATAGACATTTGGGGTGTTGGAATATTTTCAGTGAAATATATATTATTCAGAGGAGTATTCATTTTGGGTCGACTCAAATTTTATGAGCAGTGTTAACATTTTTTATTTCTATCGAGTGAAGAATTGCACTTCGTATACTTTCGTGTAAATGCAAGAATTTTGTTTAGTATATTTCTATGAGAACACTGAAATTAGACTTGCAGGAAAATTTTGAGTGGAGTACATAGTTTGTCTATTTTGAGTTGACTCATGTCTTGGGAGCAGTGTTAACATTTTCTATTTATATTCAATGTACAATTTCACTTGATATATTTCTATGAGAACGGCAGAACAAAGAAATTAGACTAGTGAGAAGGTTTTGAGTGGAGTACAAACTTTGTCTATTTTGAGTCGACTCAACTGTTAGTACCAGTGTTAACATTTTTTATTTATATTAAATATACAATCTCATTTGCTATATTTCTATAAGAACACCAGAACAGTAAAATTAGACTAGTGAGAAGGTTTTGAGTGCAGTACAAACTTTGCCTATTTTGAGTCGACTCAAGTTTTAGTACCAGTGTTAACATTTTTTATTTTTACTGGACAGTACACGATGTGACATTACTGAAATATCCCGGAAAAACGTAGAATATTTACGAAAAAAAATTATTTTATGAAACGTTGTTTGATGTGATGGAGACATAACGTGACAACAAACATGTGACATAAATAAAAGTATAAATAATTTTCGCGATTGAAGTGGAAGAAATTCCAAGGTCGAGTTTATACCTCTTTTACATGAAACACTATGCATTTTATGTAACTTCACTCCCTATGTCAAGTTACAGAAGAACTAATATTTCGTAAGTAATTTTAGACTGAAATTTTTAAACTTTTAGTAAAATGAGTAATTTCGTCTGAGAATTTGGATAATATCAGGAATTGTACTTTTTAGAACCGTGTTTTATACTTCTTGGTTTAAATTTTTCAAAGAATCCATTTAGGTGCGAGAACTACATCGTTGCATAACATTCAAAAAAATATTATTGAAAATTTTTATTAAAAGTATTATTACCAGTTATTGTCAGTAATAATAAATTTGTGTTTCATTTTTTTAACACAACTTTAACAATGTTAAAAGAATCAAGAATATTAATTGTTAAGAAAAACTATATACATTTTTTATTGAAAATATTACCTGAATCTTCGTACAGTAATTTTGTTAACAATTTTATCTGAAAATTACTATAAAATATTGCATTGAAATATTTTTACTTCATGAACTTTTTTCATGAAGATTTCAATTTAATTTTACAAAGATTTCTTATAGTGAACAGATGATTGTCATTTTCTCTCTATAAATAAAATTGCTTAACAGAATTTCTTCTAGACACAGCAGTGAAATTCTTTCACGTTTATTCAACAAAATCATGGCTTTTTATAAACGATTTTCGAACGTATCTTCTTTTTGTTCCGAACGTGTGTACAACCAGCTCTCTGCTCGGCACACTTTCTCAAGTGACAGCTCTGCTTACTAGACTGGAATTGAATCATCTCGAAGATGTAAGATACACAAACAATTTACTCGATACAATGTGCAAGATACAACATTCTTGCGGACGCAACAAGATCTTAGGATAAGAGGAAGAGTTACTCATTATTCAAAATTTCTATGTCTGCATTTCTGAATTTTCAAATTAGCAACTTTCTCATTTTCTAAGTGTTTGGGTTTATTCTTCTCTTCTGACATTTGCAAACATTTGCAATTTTCATGTTCTCATATTTCAAATTTTCCAAATTCTCATTGTTCTGAATTCCAAAATTTTCGAGTTCCATAATTTCCCAATTCTATAATTCCCCAATTCCATAATTTCCAAATTTCATAATTCCCCAATTCCATAATTTCCAAATTTCATAAATTTCAAATTTCATAATTCCCCAATTCCATAATTTCCCAATTCCATAATTCTCCAATTCCATAATTCCCCAATTCCCTAATTCCCCAATTCCATAATTCCCAAATTCCATAATTCTCCACCCCAATTCCATAATTTTCCAATTCCATAATTCCCCAATTCCATAATTTTCCAATTCCATAATTCCCCAATTCCATAATTCCCAAATTCCATAATTCCCCAATTCCATAATGCCCCAATTCCATAACTTTTAAATTCCCTAATTCCCCAATTCCATAATTCTCCAATTCCATAATTCCTCAATTCCATAATTCCCAATTCCATAATTCCACAATTCCATAATTCCCCAATTCCATAATTTTCCAATTCCATAATTCCCCAATTCCATAAATCCCCAATTCCATAAATCCCCAATTCCTTAACTCCCCAATTCCATAATTCCCAAATTTAAAATTCTCCCAAACTCTCACATATCCAAATTCCAAATTTCCCAAATTCTCACCACCCCATATTTCAACCTCTCCCAAATTTCGAAATTCCCAAACTCCACATTTCTAAACTCCCAAATCCCCAAATTCCCAAACTTTCTCAAAATCCTCACATTTACATATCTCAAATTTCCCATACCCCAAAATCTTCCTAACTCCAACGTTTCACGTATAACACACATACGATGTAACAACGCACGGTTAGGTTAGGTCAGGATAGTTCATCGTTCCATCAAACCGATGTACGATCACGTTTAGATTAAGCTAGGTCAAGATTAATACCATATCAAAATTTATTATGGACATCCCATCTTTTATTATCACACTTCGATACTTTGATAGAAAATTTCAATTTATTTATTTTTTAAATATTTACATTTTTACACATTCTCTAATATACTCATTTAATGCTCATATTTATTATACATACTTAATGTATGCATTTAGAGTACATTAAATAAACATAAGCAATATATGTGTACTACAGCATACACTCACTATGTATCTTATTTACTGTAAATATGTATCCTAAATATTTGTATCTTGTTTTGAACATTCATGTACACTTTCTACTGTCTACATGCAGTGTACACATAATGATCATCTTATAAATTCATACTCGAAAACTTTTCCCAAGGTACATATTTAACGTACACATTCAACGTACATAAAATGTATACTTATAATGTTTACATCGATTCATGTACATTTTCGAATGTACATTCAAGACAGTACTTCTGTCAGGTGTTACAAGTAACTTTCCGAATGTTCGACGCATTTCACATTTAAAAGCGACAGGAATAACAATACTTGTCAAGAGGAATATGTATATTAACACACAAGGAAATAACACGTGTGGCCGCTATCAGTGGGCATTGGCTAGTAGAGTGGTATTAAATACCACCGTTCCGAGCGTAGAAAATTACAACGTGCAAACTTCTTTGGTGAGTCGGTTCATGTTTTTTTTCCTCGACCGTTTTTCGCCCGGGTAGGAAGAGATATTCGAGATTCGAATTAGTAAATTGCTGTGCCATTGAAAAGGGGACAACGTGCTTTCGGAAGAATGACGTCTTCGTTCGTTTCGCGGTTTGTCTCCTCGATGATTTCGTGAGTTGACGCATGAAGTTTACAATAATCACTCTTGTAATTTATATAATTATTTTTGTTAATTTATGTTAAATAACACTGTGATAATTCGTATCATGTGATAGTACGTATCATTCAATGTTTCGAAAGTTTCTGCAAGGTTTTCGTGTACGCGCCACAAGATGACTTCTGGGATTTAAGAAGGCTATACGTTTTTATTTTTATCATGTGATAGTACATATCACTCAAGCTTTCGAAAGTTGCTAGGTTTCCGTGTACGCGCCACAAGATGACTTCTGGGATTTAAGAAAAATATGTTTTTATTTTAAATAATTTTTAATTTGAACAATTTCTACGACTGCAGTGAATTGTATTCTTTGCTTGAAAATGCAATTCACGAAAATATATACTGAGAGAAAAAATTTAGGAAGCATTTGTTATTTCGCCGTTTTCGATATTTTAGCAGCAGTCATTTTGTGGCAAGCGAACGTTACTTATGTTATTTTATGGTTCGATATTCAGTGTCATTGTCGGTATTACTCAGAAAGTTTTTCCAGGAAGGCTTGATTAGTTGCTCAATGAACTTCGTTTATCTAGCTTGTTTTGTTGAAAGCTCATTAGTTAGTAAATAGAAGCGATTATAAACAATTTCTAGTGGTGTTACATATTTTTTCATTCTGTGTGCTGTAATTTATTGTTATAATTCTATATGGTGCAATTCTACAAATTTTAATTCTGTATTTTGATGATTCGTAATTTTATGCGTTGTATTTTCACGCTGTGTAAGTCCACGCGTTGTATTTTCACGCTGTATAACTCCACGCGTTGTATTTTC